CGGGGACTAAGTTTTCCCTTCTTACCAAATCTCATAACACCCTTCATGGGTGAAACTTTCAACTATACCCAATCATCTACTTTAAACTCAAACTCCCTTCTCCTAACATCAGTGTAAGATTTCTGACTCTGCGCTATTTTCAACCTCTCTTGAATAACATTCACTTTCTCCATAGCTTGATGAACTAAGTCTGGTCCTATCAACCCAACCTCACCAACTTCAAACCATCCAATAGGAAATCTGCACCTTCTCCCATAAAGAGCATCAAAAGGAGGCATTTGGATGCTAGAGTGGTAACTATTGTTACAAGCAAATTCAATAAGAGGTAAGTGAGCATCCCAATTACCTTTGAAATCAATCACATAAGCCCTCAACATATCTTCTAAGGTCTGAATAGTGCGCTATGCTTGACCATCTGTCTGTAGATGAAAAACAGTACTCAAGTTCACCTTTGAACCCAAACCTTTCTAGAAAGACTTCCAAAACTGTGTAGTAAATTGTGCACCTCTATCTGAAATAATGGAACTGGAACTCCATGAAGTCTTACTACCTCTTGAATATATAACCTGGCATAATCCTCTACTGAATCGATAGTCTTTACCGGCAAAAAGTGGGATGATTTCATCATTCTATCAACGATCACCCAAATAGAATAATACTGCTTGCGAGACCATGGCAAGCCAGTAATGAAATCCATATTAATCATCTCCCACTTCCATTCCAGAAGTTCTATATTCTAATCCGTACCATGATATACCGTGAGTTTACGGTATTTCTAATACATTTCACTTACAAGTTGTGTGTGTCTAGGGCCTTTTTATATTGGTTTTTTATGTATTCTATCATGTTTTGCAGGAAAGGTGTTCAGGCGCGGAAGTTTAGAGACAGCTGAAGGAAATGCAGAAAAAGGCATCCACGGAGGTCATCTACGGACCGTAGGTCCATTCACGGTCCGTAGGTGATGACCGTAGACCAGCAGGAATGTGTTGAGGACAAATCAGGGAAATCTGACCAAGTGTGGAACCACAGTGCCCATTTACGGTCCGTAGATGGATCTACGGACCGTACTGTTGATCCGTAGGATGAGACTGTGAGGGTTCCAGTACCTGATTTTTGAAGATTCTAAGTATGGAGCTACGGAAGGGATTGACGGACCGTAGATCGATCTACGGTCCGTGCTGCTGGTCCGTCGTTTGCTTCAGAGAAGCTGATTTTTGGGATGCCGAAATATTTTCTAAGTCCCGAGTGACGGAAGGGACTTACGGACCGTAGATCAATCGACGGTCCGTAAGTCAGTCTCGTGGATCAAAGACGCGTACCTGAACAAAACTTTCCTTAATTTGTTTTCTTTTTTATTTAGGATTTGTTTTCTATAAATAGGACATGTAAACCTCGTTTTTGGGGGTTAGACACTATTATTCTATTTTTGCTGTGTAACTTTGGAGATTAATTTGCAACCCTAGCAATTATTGATTTCCCAAGTTCGTTTTGAAGATTTTGGCTTTGAAATTCAAGTTAATTTTCTGGGTTTACTATTCTCTTGACGTAAGTTCATGATTTCTCCATCTACGATTATGAATTGTGTTCTTGCTAATATGAGTAACTAAATTCACAACTAGGGTTGTGGGAACCATGATCAATTAACAAAGTATGAATAGTAAATAAGCAATTCTTGACTAGTATTTTGCATGCATTGATAATTCTTTCGTTTAGAAGTCTTTTTAACGGTGGCCAACGTTAGAACTCGCCTTGTTACTACTTGCCGGACCAAGGAGGTAATTAACAAGAAAAGAATTATCAACATAGATTTAGTGTGATACTATCTAATAGGCTAGTGTCGATTGGTGCGAAGTAATAACTAAGCCAAACATCGATTATGATGTCTAATATGAGGTAAAGGTAAGGGTTAGTAAATTATACACACGTAGCCGGACCAAGGTGCGGGGTGAAATTCTCTAGATGCCGGACCAAGGATTTAGAGATACCTAACTTATCACTTTGCATGTAATACACTAGAAAAGGATTGCTATTACTAGGATTACTGCGTTATGAGATTATGGGGAACACGTGTACCCTAGTTATTTCTTTTATCTTGATAACAACCAAAGTTGAATCTAATTACTGATTACAATATTAAGTCTTGCTATTCGTTTCACACAAGTACAACCCCCCTTTTTATTACCTGTTTCTGGAAATAATTTGACTAATTGAATATAATTGTTGGTTAAAAGTAAAGTCTAAACCATTTTCCTCGTGGGATCGATCCCAACCTACAAGTTGGGTTCTTTACTTGATAACGATCGCTTATGCTTCTGAAAGGAGGTGTAATTTGAGCGTATCATACCACCGGGCCTTTGGTGCTCTACTTTAACTTGTTGGCAATTCATACATTTAACAACAAACTCTGCAATGCCCTTCTTCATACTACTCCGCCAATAAACTTCTCTAAAATTGTGATACATCTTTGTGGAACCCGAATGAATGGAATATCTAGAGCTATGAGCTTCTTCCATCATCTTGGTACACTTGACCTACCTTGATACCTCAATACACCATCCCCCCTTGTTCAAAAGCCATTATTTTTTTGTTTATGCACATTTGCCTTCAATTCAAGCAAAATAGGATTTTGGTCTTGTTTCTCTTTAACTTCAGACATTAATGATGATTCAGCCCCATTAATCACCACTACCCCTCCTTATATGGAATCCATTAGTAAAACTCCCAAACATGCAAGTTGGTGCACATCTTTTGCTAACTCTTTCTCATTTTCTTCAAAATGGGCGGTACTACCTATAGACAATCTACTCAAGGCATCAACAACAACATTATCCTTACCTGGGTGATAAAGGATACTCATGTCATAGACCTTGAGTAACTCTAACCATCTTCATTGTGTGAGATTAAGTTCTTTCTGGCTAAACACATACTGAAGACTTTTGTGATCGGTGAACACATCCACATGAACACCATAAAGATAATGGTACCATATTTTTAAAGCAAATACTACGCCAGCCAATTCTAGATCATGGGTTGGGTAATTCTTCTCATGAACTTTCAGTTGTCTGGAGTCATAAGCTATAACTTTGTCATTCGTCATTAACACACAACCCAAACCAACTCTAGACACATCAAAATACACAAAAAAACCTTGAGTACCTTCGGGTAAGGTCAATACTGGGGCAGTAGTCAACCTCTTTTTCAATTCTTGAATGTTGTTCTCACAAGCTTCAAACCATTGAAACGTAATTGTTTTCTTAGTTAACATGGTCAAAGGTATGAAATAGATGAGAGCCCATCTACGAACCTTCTATAATATCCAGCCAACCTCAAGAAACTCATAATATCAATTGGAGATGTGGGTCTATGCCAATTCTGCACTGCCTCGATTTTCTGGGTATCAACCCTAATTCCATCACCGAAAACAATGTGGCCTAGGAATGCCACAGACTCAAGCCAAAACTTGCACTTAGAGAACTTGGCTTACAACTCCCTATCATTTAGAGTTTGGAGAACTATTCTGAGATAGCTAGCATGATCTTCCTCATTCCTCGAATAGATTAGTATGTCATTAATGAATATGATAACAAACATATCTAAATAAGGCTTGGATACCCTATTCATAAGGTCCATGAATGTTGCAGGCGCATTAGTCAAACCAAAGGACATAATTAGGAACTCATAATGACTATAACGGGTCTTGAATGCTATCTTTGGAATATCACATTCCCTTACTCTTAATTGATGGTAGCCTGATTTGAGTTCTATCATAGAAAAACAAATAGCACCCTTAAGTTGATCGAAGAGATCATCAATTCTCGGAAGAGGATACTTATTCTTAATGGTAACCTTGTTCAACTGGTGGTAATCTATACACATTCTAAGGGAATCATCCTTCTTCCTCACAAATTAGACCGGAGAGCCCCAAGGTGAGACACTTGATCGTATAAAACCCTAATAAAAGAGATCTTTGAACTGTTCTTTTAGCTCTTTCAACTCTGCTAGAGCCATTCTATATGGCGGAATAGATATATGACGAGTATTAGGAAGAATATTTATACCAAAGTCTATCTATCTTAGGAGGGACTCCAGGTAAATCATCTGGAAATAGTTCTGGAAACTCACTCACAACTGGAACTGACTCAATAGGGGGTGTCTCAACATTCATCAACTTGAACTAAGTGATAGACACACCCTTTGGAAACTAAATTTCTCGCCTTAAGGTACGAAATGAAATGACCCTTAGGCACTACTAAATTGCTACTCCACTCTATAACTGGCTCATTAGGAATTTGGAACCAAATAACTCAAGTTCTACCATCAATTGAGGCATAAAAGGCATGAAGTCAGTCCATGCCTACAATAACATCAAATCTACCATGTCTAACTCAACTAAATCAGCCATGGTGTTCTTGTGATTGATGAAAATGACACAATCACGATAGACTCGCTCAGCTAGAATAGACTCCCCAACAGGTGTAGAAACACAAAAGGGCTCATAAAGTTTCTCAGGAAGAACAACAAAATTCATTGCAACATAAGGAGTCACAAAATATAAACTTGCTCCTGGGTCTAGCAAAGCATAGACATTAAGAGTAAAAACTTTGATCATACCAGTGACAACATCTGGTGAATTCTCTTGATCTTGACAACTAGTGATTGCATAAAGGCGGTTTGCTCCTCCGCTAGTACCAGAAGTAGCTCCTCTAGGTGCAGCTCTGTCTGGTGGAGCAACTGATAGAGATTGGGCTCTATTCCCATTACCTTGCCGGCTCTTAGGGCACTCCTTTATGAAGTGACCCTCTTGTCCACACTTGAAACAAACTGTGGAGCCATCATGACACTTACCTGGGTGGTTCCTACCACACTTAGCACATTCAGGAGCCCAGTTACCTTCTTGTGCCACACTACCCAAAGACTGGGCAGGTCTAGCTCTGAAGTGTTGCGAATTTTAACTATTGTACTCACCTTTGTTTCTGAGGCAACTTCTCTTCCTCAACATGCTACACATAAACCATCAACCTTGTTATATCTCCCCTATTAAGATAGTTGTCTTGCCTTCTTTGCTTGACAGATGGGACAACCGAACAACAAATAGACTCATCTTGCTTCTCATATCTGTAACCATCTCTGGAGCATATCGAGAAAGTTGGGTGAACTTCAAGTTGTACTCATGAACACTTAGTGAATCCTGCTTAAGGATAAGGAATTCCCGTACATTGGCTTCTCTCAGTTCACGGGGAAAGAAACGCCCCAAGAAAGCCTCCTCAAACATAGCCCAAGTCAAAATGGGTGCACCCTCAACTCTACCCTTCTTCCACTGGTCAAACCAAGTCATAGCAACATTCTTTAGTTGATATACAGCTAGTTCCACTCGCACAACATCGGCAAAGTGCATTACCTCAAATACCTTGTGCAGTTCCTCAAAAAAAAAATCCAGATCCTCAATAGTGATTGAATCATTGAAGCTTGGAGGATTAATCCTCAAGAACTAGCGGATCCTCGAAGTATCAACCTCTTCCTATTGAGCCCCTCTTTGTTTTCCAACTTGGTTGGTCACAGCTTGACTTAACATTCAAATTGCTTCTCAAAATTCAGCATTGGTGACCTCTCCTTGGGGTTGCACTTCAAGTGTATTAGGTACCCCTTGCTCCTCAACCTTCCTCCTAGCAGAACGACCTCGGACAGCTCTTCGTGGAGGCATGATCAACTGAAATACACGCGCAAGCATGAGTTAGAAAGAGACTTTATATAGATGAACTCCATTGCACAAAAAGAGTATGAAAGAAGTGAAGGAATTTCCTAAATGTTGCAGCCTCCTAATTATAGATGTGGTGCGCTTCACACTGATAACTAGGACTCTACTGACACGGCTTCATAGACTCCCTAGGACTCTTCAACTCTGGGCTCTGATACCAAGTTTGTCACGTCCCGAGCCTAGACCCTGGGCGGGACTGGCACTCGAGAACCATTGTCGGCCCCAAGCGAACCCTTGGCCTGACTTCACTTATAGCGAAAGGCATAAATAATAGAAAACAGCCCCAAAGGACAACTCATGCAATATCTTAAAGAAATAATAAACTAGCCGAAACGGCAACTTAAGTCTTAACATCAACAACTGAAAATGGAAACACAATAGAACTATAACTGATCCGTCTATGAAGCCTCTAAAACAAATAGGGATGTCAGGACAAGACCCTAGATCATCCTAACAACTAAAGTACTAAATCAATGATAAAGAGGTCCTCCGGATAGCAAGAAGGCTCACCAACTGACTCTGAGTGCTCAACTGGATCAACGAAGTGCTGGATGTTGATCCTAGTTACCTGTTTTTGCATTATAAAATGATGCAGGCAAAATGGCATCAGTACATTGAATGTACGAGTATGTGAGGGGAAAACTAAACATGACATAAGCTTGAAACAAATCTGAAAAGAACACTTACCTTAACTTTACTCAATTCATGAATACTCAACTCAAATGCAAAGTGAAAACAACAATAAGGGTGCAGTTTATACAAAGCATTTAAAACGGTAGATGACAACTCAATGTATTAAAGAAATACAATAGCAGCTCAGTTTACATATAAAGTAATATAATACTGTGGGAGTGTCTCTAACCGACAACTACCACTATGAGCCTAAGTGATGATACAACGTCTCACTCACGCTGCCAGAACTATCATATACCTTGCCATGATATAGAACACCTCAACTAAGTTCCTAGCTAAAAATCACTAAGGAGTCATCTAAAAAGTATTATCCTTTCTACCTATGATGACTACATGGTTTATGGAAACTTGAGTTATTATGAACTCGTCCCCATATCGGTGCTCAATACTATTCCCAAAATATACTCAACTCATATGTTTTAAAAACAAAACTCTTTCTGTGATTTGAGAAAATTACTCAAAAACTAGATCAAAGGCACTCTTGGAAATCAGTGTTTCCTCTTTTGTTTAAATGTGAAACATTTCAACTCTTGGGAATACTTAGTTCCCGTATAATCTTTGAAGAAATGAATTTTACTCTTACTCTTTACTCAACCCAAAACTCAAGTCTTAAAACAAAGTTAAAACGTTTGTAAAAGACTTTTGGAAGACTCTCTTAACTTGACTCTTAACTTTCGTTGAATTGAATTATGGATTCAAGGCTCGTGATCTCATGTTTATGGATGATTTCGTGATATTTAGATGTACCTTAGAGTGTAGAAATCGACTATAAAAAATAGGTACATTGCTAGGGAACTAGAATGGAAAGAAGTAGGAAAAGGTGGAAGAATTGGCGCACTGGCGCTCTGAGAGGCGCGGGGCGCTAGGAGGGAAACTTCAGAAGCTGGGGTGGGGTGCTCTAGCTGGAGTGGTGTCCTAGGGCCCAAAATTTAGAAGTCCCTTTGGGGCTCTCTGAGAGGCGCGGCTCCCCAGCCCCCTTTCCAGATTTTTGACGAATTTTCTTGCTCGTTTTCCAACTCTAAACCCTCTAAATTCAATTAGTTATTTCCCCAAACACTTAGAATCGACTAATTCACCAAAATGTGTAAGATTCTACTCAAAACAACACCTTATTTCATGAATCAAACTCAAGAAACTTCAACAACAAGAACCCACAAGAACTTGAGCGAATTTCATCAAGAACTCATAATCGTTTCTTTCTAAAACACAATTTCGCTGAATTGAATCATGATTGGCGCATGAGTGAACTAACCCAACGCTATGTGAGCTCACGTACTTCATAGGGATCACCCCTTGACGAAATCCACGACCTTAGCTTCAAGAACTTGAGGATTCCTTGCTTTCCCTTCTCTTTTCTCCTCTTCTTTTCTCTTCTCTCAAAACCCTAACTCAAATTTCAAAAGCGTAAACTGACCAAATTCAGTTCAGACCCCTATTTAAATACCTAAAACGAAATAATTTAATTGGGTATGGAAAATACCAAAATACCCTTCCAATATCCGGTTTTGACTTTCCTTATCTAGACAGCCCAACTTCAAATGGACATATCTCACTCATACGAACTCGGAATCAAGAAAACTCAGCGGCGTTGGAAAGATAATTCAAAGATATTTCCTACGGTATCTGGTAGCACACCTAACTCACCCTGAAATAGGAGTTATGGTCGTTTGAAGTTGACAAAAACTCAAACTTGACATAACTTAACCAATTTTTCCAGATTTTTCATTCTTTCCAAAAATGTCTCTTTCTAATTCTAGCTCTTTCTAGTTCTTTCAAATAGCGAGGTGTTACAAAAATATTTGCAAATTATTTATCTTCAGGACCCTAAAGGATTCACTTCAACCAATGTTAAGCCTTGTTGAAGCAAAACGACCAGATAACTCTAAAGATTTCAGATTCAGATATTCAGCAATATCCAATTCTTCCAAAGAATAACTAGAATAAGACAAGTGTTCAAGAGTTGGTGCTTGGATAACAGCTTGTTCCCTCTCTATCGTAATGCTAAGTGACCTAATCTTTCGAAGATTCCGTACCTCAAACTTTTAAAAAATACACCAGATTACAATTCCTCAGCACCAGTTCTCATAAATATTTTGCTGTCAAGATTTTATAAATATTGAAGGATGAATGATATCCTAAATTTCTGTAGACTACATCTCTTACACCATTTTGAAGAGCAATCAAACCACTTATCAATCAAAAAGAAAAAATAACCAGTAGGTGTTGCAATGTCGATGAAAAGTTCAAACTTGTCAATAGGAATTTTCTCATCCCTGTATCGCTTCATAATTATATCCACTATATCGGTGTCAATTTTACCTTTAGATCTACTTATACTAAGGAAAAAAGAAATGCAGATTTAGAAAGCGGCACAAGCAGGGACATTCCATACACAGTCTACATTTAACATGTAGCAAAGATAACTTTGGTTAGATACGGTTGTCTTAGTTAATTCAAAAGACAAGCTACTTTTCACTACCAAACTACATGTAAGCTAGTACCAACTTTGAACACAGTATATCCGAAGTTATACAAAACAGTACACATGCAAAAAAAAAAAAAAACAAGTTAAATGATGGCATCAAAATCGAGTATCCAGTCAAATAATGAACAAACTTTAACTTGTTCTGTTTTCCTGTTATACCCCTGACTGGAAGTGAAGGAGCATATAGGAAAAACAAAAATGAAATTGATATAGGGTTCTACTTTTACAGTCTTAATTATGTTACTCTCTTGCTCTAATAGCAAGCTAAACAAGCACATTCCACCAAGTACTTGCTAACTCCCATCAGCGCAGGGTAACTTTGCCACCAACATTTAGGTAGATCAGAAGAAATCATCTAGCACCTTTTCTTCCGGGTGAGATTTAGAACCTGCAATGTACCAGATTTAGCTATAATGATCAAGAAAACAGCTTCATGAAAACCATTGTCCAAAATGTGAAGGATTAAAAGAATCCTATATGACATTAGAAATAGAGTAGGGTATGAACTGCCAAAAGATTCGTTAATAACATCAAATTGAGCACTGAAGCAGGATTCCAGAAATACGAAAGACAAAACATATAGACACCATCATTAGAAAATATGGTTGCACTTCAAGCCCAGTAAGAAGAATCACAAGCACAATAAAAACAATATCCGTATATATCAGCAACAGATACGCTCCAGTAAATCTGAGTAGTATAGCTAAAGGCAGAACCATATAACATATTGACATCATCATTAGAAAATCTGTGCTAAAAAAAAAGAGATACATCTAAAATCTGTGAAAAGAAAGCATAAATCTAAACACGGAAGGAAGTCACACACTACCAGAATTAAGGAAGACTGATAAACAATTGTACCAGAATCGAGGAGATTAGCTCGTGTAAAAATGAAATCAGGACGAGTCAGCAGCCTACTAGAAGGAAAGCACACCCTATCAGAAGCAAGGAAGATTGATTTGCCTCAAGGAAGACTGACTTTTCTAAAGATGGAAACAAGTTAGCCACATACCACAAGGAAAAAGAGCACACACTTATCCTATTCACTATTTTATCTTGTAAAAAGATTGTCTTCAATATAGTTAACTAGTGCTTAGAAAAAGAAAAGAAAAGGAGATATTAGAAAACTATACGAGTAGAGGATGTGACCAACAAGTAAATTGTAATCTTCCATGTCAAGGAGTTCACAACAGGCTATCTGTCTAATCAGAAACATTCAAGCTCTAAAGAAACCATGGGGACTGGATTAGGCACCACATCGGTGATTCGAACAAGTATAAAAATCTTTGTGTCAACTATGTCTTTTATCTCTTTATGTCTTATATAATATGTTTTTTTATCTAATCGTCTATATCGTAGGGTAGTCGACTTGAAAAAATCAACAAATGTATATATTTGTGTCCTGAAATAAACAATACTTATAGCAAGAGAACCACATTTGCACACACTAAAATGTCTTGCTCAGATATAGATATTCAAGTCGAAGTAACATATCAACACAAACAAGATGATGTGAAGGCAGAGAAGTTACCAGTGCTATCCACACAACTTTCCTTTTTGAATGCGTCTTGAATGCATACTCCTTTCGTAAGCTGATATGATTATCAAATTGATCATTCTGGTAATTGTAAACCTCAAATGGAAAAAGATAGCATCATAGGAAAGAAAAGTACAATTCATCAATTAGCTATACCTTTGCCTTGATTGATTCAATACGATGCAACAACTCTTTTCCACTTCTTTTTTGTGAGCCACGCAAAATACAAATGCCAACATTCAAAATCTTTTCAATGTCAGCATGAGAAGTAACAGATGTGCAGATGTTTAAAAGCTTCAGAGCATGTGGAACCAAATCCATCCTTGAATCACAGTATCGACATAAATATTGTGCATCCAAATTGATGCTTCCTCCGACTGTCCCAGCCATGTAAGCTCGTAGAGCACAGTCTAGATGGGAAATATGTCCACATATGTAGCCATCTACTGTTGCTTCACATCGAATGTAACTGTACACATCATAGTCTGAAGTGATAGTTTTACAGCAAAGGATGCAACAACAGTCTCGGCAAAAACCAGGATCACTGCAACATATATCACAAAGCATGGCCGGAAAAGGATTTTCTAATGTTAAACTGCTACAGATTCTGTTACCAGCCTTACAAGTAATGGCTCTTATAGGAGAATCAGATAGTAAAGACTGCAATTCTGTTCCTGAAGATGTAGTCCTCTCTTTCATATCTGAGTCAAAATCAATATCTAATTAAAAAGAAAACAAATTTGGCATCTGGTCAATAAGAAGATGTGGTAAGTTTTTTTTTAATTGATGCAAACAACCGAATAAATATCTACATGCTATATACCAAAGAGCCCTGTCGAAGCTAACCTTTTGAGCTTGGCGACTGCTTCGAAGGAATCATCCAACTAAATGAGGCAAAGAATTGGTTTATATCCATGCCAGGATACTCAGTCTGGAGATACTTTTTCACTGAAATCTTACTTCGAAAAGCATTTTTCTTTCCACCTTTTGGAGCCTTAAAATGCTTCGGAAGATACAGATATCTATCTATAAAGGTGCCTGAACTTGTAACTCTTTTCCCTACCCGCCAGCCCCACTTATCACCAGCATTTGGCCAATCTACAGGAGCATATGGTAAGCCTTCGCCAGAGTCATACTCAGAAACTGGATAAAGTTGAAGACCAATTTCATTGATTCTAGAAGCACTCCCATTATATACAATACGTGCACGACTCTCCCCAATCTCCTCATTGGCGGACATTTAGCTGGAAATCTCTAACTCTGTTGATACTAATGAAAGTCTGAAACCATAGAAAAATAAAGAAACGTTAGAAGTCCACAGTAGAAAGCAAACCATTTTTGTCTATAAAATATTGGAGAAAAAAACAACTAAAGGAGAAAAGCCAAAAGTTGGGAATATTCTCGAGGAAAACAAGATAGCTAATTTTCGACCTAAAGAAGTTATGCTTCAGATGAAGATAAAGGTAAAACCTTTCAGCATGAGCTACAAAAACACTCTCCCCCCAAGGAAAAAATGAAACACAAAAAAATATCAAAGCTGATCAGCAGAATGTTTGTATATAATGCAACATGCTTGACATAAATACCTAAAGTTCAAAGCCACCTTTGGTGTGAAATTTTTACTAAGATACATAGAACATTAATTTTGAAGAACTTGGTAAGCAACAAAAAAATTTAACAAATATTTTCAAAACTAGAAACTTAAAACTAGTAAAGAAAATAGAATCTGAAACAGATGAAAAATAATAAACAAAATATTTTCTCCAAGAAGAAAATTGAACCCACTGAATGCACAATATTTTCTTCAGGAAATTAGTCCCCTCAAGTACTCGAGGTTAATGGAATATATCCTCTCATAATAGAATAATCTTACTCACCAGTGTATTGATACTTAAAACCACGGTGTCAGCAAACCACTCAGCAACAGTAAAGTACACATAGAATACTAGATTTAATAGAAAAGAAAGAAGTTCAAAAATTTGTTATTGAAAAATAAGAGGAACCCCTCTATTTTTTTTTTGGTGAACGAAACTTTTCAATTCAAAGCCAAAGTGAACCATTACAAAACTAAATAGGTGCAAACCACCTATTTCTCGATCCTGCTAACCACATCCATCAATACATGTCCTACTAAATATATAAAAGAAAACATACGCTATGTATAGGAGAAGCAATCTATCTCAAAACTATTCAACGACTACTACGACAATAGATGGTAGTGTGAATGGGTGTTTATTGTGCCTTATCAAAAAGGTCACAATCCTTCAGAAAAGTCGTAACTTTTCATAAAAGTCACAACTCTTCAAAAAAGTCACAATTCTTCATAAAAGTCGCAATTCTTTAGAAAAGTCAAAACTCTTTATAAAAGTCACAACTCTTCAATTTCATTCACATCTTTTAAAACCCAACAATTACTCGTGGCGTCAGATAAATTGTGGCCTTGAAGGGTTCTTTTTAAGTAGACCCCACAACATACAAGTCCTAATATGGTCTCAAATCCTTTTGGTAGGTACAAATTTAATGTTCTCATGAGTTCAGAAAGCAGAATAAAAAAAAAATCTCCTTTCAAAAATGCACAAACAATCTCTGTCAAAAATTATACAACACATTTTTGGTTTCATCCCACTAATGTTATGTTTTCAATTTACTTCACCCCTAATCTTTTAGAAATGTTAGTTAGCAATTAGCACTATTATTTTAGCCTATATATTATATTAAACTTATTAAGTACTATTTATAGAAGACAATTCCATTTAGAATAGGTAGTTCGCAGTTTGCACTATTATTAAGTGGTGGAACTAGGTTTTGGCAATGTTGTAAATTGGATCCCCTTTGTTAAAAAATTATACTGTGTAACTAAGGCAAACATAATCTTTCTAGTTATATGTAAATTGTTAAATCTCCTTTGACATAAGGGAAGATACTAGTGTAGTGGCAAATGGGGTTCAAAATTTATTTTAGATCATATATTTAAATCTTAGGTATACATTCTAGTATTTATCTCAAAAATTAATTTTTGAATCTCCTTCTGCCACTACTATAATTTCACCGAGAGTCCTATTTAAACCATCTGTCAACTCTAGATTAACTATTTATAAATAGCAACGGATACATTATGCTTCCATGTTACATTTCATCATACAAAGAAATTAATTAACATTTGCACCTAACTCAACTCAAAAGTTATCCATTTCCCAAGACCATGTATATAGACAATAACTTTCTTATACAAATTTTGGGGACTCTAAATATCCATTCTTCGACACTGCAAAAGCTAGCTTTTAATGTAGGAGAGCCTCAACGGCTCCACACTAGGTAGTTTTCACTCTACCACAAGTAGGTAGCTTTTTTAGAGGTAGCCCTTTTCAATTTGGGTGGTCAGCGCCTTCCTAGAATGGTGGACACGGAGGGTGATGGATATGATTCTCATATCATCGATACAATCAAGGAAAACATGGAATTAACATAGAGTAAAAAACACAATAAAAATGCTTCTGACACAAATGAGTATATCTACCTACTTTAAGAAAAAAAAACATAATAAATCATTATCATATATAGTGAGGACGTGTATATCAATTAACATGGGAATCTCTGATTGAATTTGGGTATATACCTGAGGAGATTTAGGACTTGAATAAACTCGGTCTGCTGGTAATCCTAGACGAAGGCGAAAAATTAAAAATTCGAAAGAAAAGGAAAAAGGGAAATCAAAACCCTAAAACCCTGTGAAATGCGAAGGTTGTAATAGGTATTATTTTTAGTATTTAAGAACTTTTATACTCTTCATGTCTGAGTTGGTACACACCTGTCACATTCCTTAACGAGCAATAAAGAAAAGAGTAATTTTACTGGTTAAGGCATAAATACCCCCCTAGATTATGACCGAAATCTCAAAAACACACCTTAACTGAACTAAGGTCCTATTACCCCCTCTCCTCCCCCCTCCCCCCCCCCCCCCGAATTCATTTTTTTGTAATTTTGTACACCTTTTGTCTTACGTGGCACACTCCGTGACTCCACGCAATTGAGGCGCGTGGGAGATATTAGGATTCTATGTAAGCCAAAAAGGTGTACAAATTTACAAAAAATAAAATGGGTTCAGGGGGTAATAGGACCTTAGTTTAAATAATTAAATTTTATTTTTCAAATTTAATATAACCTTATCATTGCATTTGTACATCCAAACAGCACATGTGTAATTGTATTGTAATTACACTGTGGCAAACAAGCAGGTAGGTGTAATTACTAGGTTGTGTAATTACTGTGTTGACATTTAGAGTTTTTGGCCAAAAACATCCTTAAACTATACCCCAAAATTAAACTACATTTTTAAAGTATCATTCTTAGCAGAAAACATCCTTCAAATAGTTAAAAGTGAACAGGTTTCATCCTTCTGTTAGATATCATCAAAAAACTAAAGGATCCTACAAAAACATGAGCAGTTCATGTGACCATCAACAAAGTTTTACTGCATAATTTCATTACCTGTTGTAAGAAGTTCCTGAAAAAAACATATTAAAAATCTTAGACACTATTGCTTACCGAAACACAAAATGTTTGGAAGGTGTGGGGATACATGATCTGTTATTTTTCTCATTAGTAACGGAAAGAAGCTGGAACTTGATTATCTTTACATTTTTCATAGTCAAACTGTATTTAGATCAATAATTTTTTTGGCCAATCTGATATTTAAGTGATCAAAATATCGTTATGTCTCGCATTTGAGTCATTCTACATTATTAGAAGCGGAAGTCTCCAACAAACGCCGTTTCTAGCATATTATGTTGAGAAGAAACATATTTCTATTAATAAAAAAAATATTTCAACTAATAATATTTTTAATATCAAATTACATGGAAAAAAAAAACTTTCAAATTAAAAGATTTTGAATAATGCTAAACTCAATTACCAAAAAAGTTCACGATTAGTATTTTTGGCATATCTAAGAATAATAATTACTAATGGATGACTTGATTTTTGTGGGATTTGTTAGTTTTCTAATAAATTCAAGCAGAAGGATGAAAATCGTCCACTTTTAAATACTTTAAGGATGTTTTCTGCTAGGAATGATTCTTTAAAGATGTAATTTAAGTTTGAGGTACATTTTAAGAATGATTTTGGCCAAAAACTCTTGCAATTTACTATCCTAGTAATCACATCAATTCCAATTATCATATGACTTTCCAAACAGACCCAAAGTGTGAAGAGTGAAGACAAGATAGGAATTGGAATGCGTTTTGATTTTCTCTCACAAAAGATTTGGTTTGATGTTAGTACATATGGTTTGTCATTTATATATTTTCTATTTAAATTGCTTCATAAGTTAAATTCCATAAATGGACATATAAGAATATTTTTTTCATCAAAATCACATAATTATTTTTCTAATAGTAAAATCATAATATTTTAAACCATTTTTTAATATTTAATCTAATATCTACCAAACTCGATTAAAAGAGGATAGACAAGACTTGACCCCAAAAGAATTAAGGAAAAATGACATGATAAACCTCTCAAACTCAAAATTTAGAATTGATATATCATTTGTTACAAAAGTGGCTCATATACACTTCTATTATTACATAAATAGGTATATTTTAGAGCTGATATATCATTTGTTACAAATTAATTTTATTTTATGTTTTCGATATATTATTAAAAAAATAAAATCTATATAGGTATATTTGAAACTTTCATAAAGTTAAGAGGTATATTTGATTATTTCCCAAAGTTAAGAGGTACATTTGATTTTCCTCAACTATGAGTTTTTTTTTTTTACCTTCTTTACTTTAATGAATAATTCGATTTTATTATCTTAATGATCAAATTATTTCTACACTCATCTTCATATAAAATTAAAGGAAAATGGTCAAATATACCCTTGTACTATTGGAAATAGTCTATAGATACCCTTCGTTATACTTTTGGATCAAATATACCCCTACCGCTATACTTTGGCACATGTATACCCCTAATTTTAACGGAGGGACATATATCTACTTAAGAATCAAATAACCCACCCCCAATTTCAAATACCCAATTCCTTTGCTATCCACCCATTTTCTTTGATGACCCACCTTGAACCAAACCCATTTTCATAAGTCATCTTCTCTATCTAAAAACTCAAGGAGGAAGTGCTTGCGGTGCACTAAACTTGCGGGAGTTCAGGGAAGGGCCGGTTATACTGTACAAGTTAACTACAAGAACTTCTCCTCATCATTGATTCACTAGCTGAAA